ATTTTTATCAACTCATAGGTCAATTAATGGTGCAAGCCTCAATAATTACGTACTGTAATGTGCAGACCAAAATCGTTTGGAAAATCCAAGAGAGAAGTCCACTTAAATTTTTTTCAAACCGTTTGTTTTTCAAAGTAGCAATATAAAATGATTTTTTAGAAAATATAAGATGAATAATTAGAATATTTTCTTGATATGTGGATACTCATACTATTGTATAAGTGCAATATGGTTATGATAGAGACATTTAGGATCACAAAATTGCTTGATCTTCAAGTGTCGAGAGTAGAGGATAGCCTAGTAATGTTTTGCGTTATGACGCATGCAAAAAATATAGCACAGAATTAACATTTTCGGTTCCTTCCAATATCATAAAATTATGTATATTTTATCTTATTTTTTAAATGGCAATCTAACACCTGAAGGAAAAAAACAGCGATATCTTTCTCTCGCTTTATTTTTAGTTCCTAACCCACACGTAGGCAAAATTATGATTTTGTGCAAATTTCTCAAATTTCACACAAAGATGGATTGTTCCGTGAAAATGGTCACAATGCAAAAAAAAACAACAACTATTATAAGCAAAAGTGTCACATTTTGGGAGGTGACCGTTTTTCATAAAAATCAAGTAAATAAAATCTAAATGTGTAGTAACTTGAGTGGTTTCGTAGGTACCTGGCGGATAGAAAACAATGCGTTAGAGTCATTGGCTTCAACAGTGGTCAGTCAACAGTCAATTTTGGCGTACCACAAGGCAGCATCCTTGGACCTACGCTTTTCATTATGATAGAAAACGACATATTCGCTAATGTCAAAGGCGAAATAATTGGTTACGCAGACGATACAGTTTTAATTTATGAAGGATCCACCTGGCCAGAAGTTTTTGAGAAGGCTGAAGCGGAAATGAGGCGTGTATCAGCGTGGCTGTGGAGTAATCTTCCCACGCTGAACTCGTTAAAAACCGACTAGATTTGTTTTCACAAAACAAAAATTTCTGCACCTAGCCCAATATCAATCAATGTCCGTGATAAAGTAGATAGAGTTCGTTAATCACGGCAATGTTTATCGAATATAAATAAGTTACGGTTCATATTTCAGGATAACTCTAAAAAACTGTTAATAATACGTTAATAAGTTTTACATTTGTTTCGAGATGTGCAAATCGAGTGGAAGCGGCAATGTAGTAGAATTTGTCCTCTGTATCAAACGAATGAAATATTGCTGTAATCGTGGGTATTGATACGGCTTAATGTATTATCAAAAAGACGGCTTCCAAAGTGAATTGTTAAAGGTCACATTGAGCGTCAGTGTCGAAAGTTATCTTTAAGTAATATAAAATATCAAAAAGAGTACTATATTATATATTTCTATATACTTAGATGATAATTATACATGATGTGCAAATTTATAGTAAAATATTGTTCAAATAAAATGGTTTTCAAACATTTTCCCAACTCCGAAAACCTATTTGCTGCCAACTTTGTAAATTGAAACAATGTAGATTTCTGGACGTTGGTATATTTAGCAACGAACCTAAAACGTATATGGAATTTAAGTTTATAAGAAACCATATTACATATATCGCTATACCGCTCCGGCTTCACACGGGTTATTTCTGGAACTCGATAACAGCGCCACCTACCAGGTCCAATTCTGAATCTAAACCATCCAGAGATCTACTCAAATGCACACAAAAATGTCATCAAAATCGTTCGAGCCGGTTTCGAGTTTTAGGGAGGCTAACACACAGCAATTGATTTTTGTATATGAAGATTTGCTTACCGCTAATCATCGATTAAAAAAATATAAGTTCATTATATATGTATTGAAATAACTGAAAATAAGCTTGATTCAAAAATGTATTAGTTAGTAAAAAGCGCGTTACTTAGGTACTTTGTCAATTGTTTTGGCTGTCAATTGTTTTTACTTACACACAAACCTTAAAAATACTTGGTCCGTGAGGGAATCAAACCCGCGGCCCTCAGCGTTGCAACTCATAGTTCAGTCACTCACAAGCACCTGGTTGAACACCTGCTGGGTGCACTTGGTGTTCGTTTACGAGTGACGACTTAGGACTTTCAAGAAAAGAGTTTACTTCGGTCTAAAAGACCGACAAAGCATCTGCAATTCCCCTGGTGTAGCAGTTTTCACGGGCGGTGGTAGTAACTTACCATCAGGTGAGCTGCTGCTCATTCGCCCCCTTTTCTATAGAATAAAGAGTGTAGCTTTTGGACCAATTGCATCACTGTAGCATTTGGTTGTCTTCTCGCGGCAATTTGCAAAATACCGTCTATGTGGGTGTAGTATTGTTTGTATTGTTTCTCCACCACGGGGGAACCGGCCTCGATAGCGTGACCACCACCTCGAAATCACATTTTTCCTGGTGCGTATTGCCGCAGTGATGTCACGTTGAAAAGCACCAGCCTGCAGCATTCCCACTACTCTTTTCCAATAAAATAACGAAGTTTAAATAGCAATTAAAAAAAAACAATTAATTTCATTTTAAAACTCACCATCACACAACAATCCGCAATAAATGACGAACTCAGCAACAGAAGAACGAAACGGAACAGAGCATCAATTATCGTACAACACTGCATTAGAGCTTTAGTTATGAATTTTAGATAAGTATATCTAAAAATAATTATTTTCCTCACCCTGAGAATTTCCGCCTACAAAAAGCTCTTTATAATTTCTAGAGCAGGCCGGATCCATTCATTCATTTTTTTGCGACGCCTGTGCGTAGTTGGTCAGACAGCGTCTTACGCTCAGACAGTGAACAGAGTGATAGAAGTAGTACTTAACATTTCCGATACTTGTTACTACTAAGAAGATAATTTTATTGGACTAACTTAATTGACTGACGATAACTTCACTGGACTTAATAAAACTTATTTCTTAAGATGACAGATAACAATAGTGAAAACTACTGGATAACCAATGGTTAGTAAAACTTTAATTTTTCATCTGCAAATGCGGTATGCTCATGCAGTACCGGTGGCGAATTTCACTTCAACATAATTGGTTTACTAAAAATATTTTAAACACAATTTAAAATATTTCAGCGTCAGTGTTAACTTTAGAGTATTTATAAGCATTTGCTTATAAATAACTAAGGTGTTAACTGTGTTTAATTTCCGAAAATGCGCTCTTATTTTCGGAAATCCAAATGAAATTTATTTATTTTTGTATCGTGCCCTACTTATCCTTGTTTCTTCTTTAAGTTATACCATTGCTTCCGTTTAATGCTTAATTTTTATGAAATAAACTAGCTGTGTTCCGTGGTTTTACCTGCGTGTAATTTGAGATATCAATGACTGATATATTGATTATTAATATGTACTTCAGTATAGACAATATTTTTAGGAACATTTTCATGTGATCTTAAAATATAATGGGTTTCATCGCATCCCGTTCTAGAAAGGTCAACATATAATGGGAAATGGGAAGAAAGTAGTAAGAACTGTGGTTTCCACCTGCCAAACGTGGCAACTATGGCAAATATCCGCTCGATGAGACAATCTGTGGTGGGGACCTATGTTCAGTCGTGGACTTTTGTCAGGTGGTAATGTAAAAATCTTTGATTTTGAGATGCACAATGCAACATGTATATGGTTTCGGGAGCACTAAATATTTTATTTAAGTCCGTCTATGTATAGCTTTTACTTGTAGATTAGTGGGTCAATTAGTCAAACTATCTCATACTTTTTAATCTTGTCCGTTGTGTTTTAGTTATTAGCTCTTTTTATTTCACAGGTATTTTCTTGATTTTCTCATATTGTTATTAACTTATTAGAAAAATAAATTATACCGACGTGAATATAAAAATAATACCCCGCCGTGTAGTGATATATCCACTATCCCATACTATCCCATTGACGTCGTAGGGCCGTGTTGCCCTGCCACTGCCACTTGCAAAAACACTTGCGGAAGTCACGCATAAGTTTTTTGCATTACTGTTATACTTATCGTTATAATTCTTGCATTTTTCTGCAGTAAATATCTTGCAGGAAGTTCGCGAATCATAGTATCGCAACTTATCGCAGAGTTATTTACACACGATAGCTATAGATAGATATAGTGCTGTCGCAAGAGGAAACGCGGTCTTAGAATTAATTTGCCATTTCCCAGTTAGTTAGGTATATACTATCTCATAGAATACCAGCGTAAAATAGCAGCTTAGTGCATCCGTGTTTCGTGTGGTGAGTGTAGAGAACCGAAGATCCTTTTTAATGGAAACGACACATTCGATCTTAGTCCTCACGGGTGACGACGCACCTGTATTTTGATTCGTAACCGAGGATGGATATAGATGTCTATGGGCCACAGCAACTACTTACCATCAGGTGAACTGTGCGATCGTTTGTCACCCTCATCCCATAAAAAAAGAACTATATTATCCCTTAATTAAAGGATTGAAGAGAGTTGTAATAACTTAAAATAATAAATAAAACTTTTAATTTTGACCAACATAAAACATAGTAATAATATGCCATGCTCACTTTCCTTCATTTCGACGCGAGTACCTAACTGGCTCATAAAATGGGAAAATTTCTAATGCATTCTATAAAGATAAGAGATATGCTCATCAGTAATTAATTACTCTCAATTCGTACTTTAAATAGAGTGATCTTTTTGCGAGATATACGAAACTAGGCCGATAAGCAGCGAGGTCTGTCGCGAGTCGATGTGACGAACGTGTTTAGACTTATGCTACTATCTATAGCACTCGTGACTACTCGCAATAAACGCTTGATAAACTGTCGCGAGTGCCCTTGCTGCGTAGTTTACATCTGTAATCTGTAAGTTACTGTCCGACAGTCTGTCGGACACTTCTTGCAGAAGTTTTCTTGCGGATGGAAACGCGGCCTAAGACGCAACAGATAGAATATACCTAGATGCTGCTGCCTATCTCTTGGTTTGTTTTTAATAGGAATAAACAACCGCAGGGGACTTTTGACGCAACGGTATTAGAAAAGTAAAAGTATACCGTAGGTGTAATGTCTACTACATTTAATTGGCAAAAAGTTTTTCAACTAATAGAATTTAAAGGTATAAATAATATTTTCGTGAAATTTGATTCTCTATACCGATATTGATGAGGTGTAACACGACTTTAAGTGGCATTTTTCGTGTTTAAAAAATAAAGATTGATTAAAAACCACATTTAAGACCTAATAGATTTATCTACCTTTAGCTGATGTGACAAGTTCTTACGGAGGGGCACACTGAAATTATCGGGAATAGAATATTTCGGATTGAGTTACAATAAAACCTTTTTTAGAATTTGAAACCTGGCCTCTTAGAATCTTAATAACCTTCAAACAATAAAAAAATGTTTAAAAACAAAAACTATGTTTGTTTAAAGTTGACACGTCATTAACAGAAATGGAGCTCACGCGTGAACATTTCCGTGCGATAATTTATCACAATTTTCGCTGAGGCTTATCTCAAGATAAATGTCTCAGCGAACTTTTTTCGATTTATGATGTTGAAGTACTGAGTCAAACGACAATATACCGCTGGTATGCCGAGTTCCGACGCGGTCGTGGGTCGCTTAGCACCGTTTCTTCTGCAGGTCAACCAAGAACACCGATTACGCCTAAAAACATCGCAGCTGTGCAGACTATTATATTAGATGACCGTCATGTGACATACGAGCAGATTCGGGCTGTATCAGTATCGGAATGACTGCAATTCAGTCGATATTAATTACATAACGAGCTGTGTGTAAGAAAGCTAGTTTCCCGCTGGGCTCCCCACAATTTGTCCGAAGAGCAAAAGGCGGCTCGTGTGGATTGGTGCCGGAATACTCTGCATCGCTTCAACGGAGGGAAGTCAAATGCCATTTATAATATCGTATCAGGTGACGAGTCATGGATTTATTCATACGAACCTGAAAGAAAACATCAGTCAGCAGTTTTGTCTTCGAAGACGAGGTCAAACCAACGAAAGTGGTTCGCTCCCGCATCGTGTCAAAGAAAATGGTCGCTACGTTTGTCTCGAAAAAGGTGCATGTTGCTACAATTCATTTACATGAACGCAGAACGGTTACCGTTGAGTGGTATATCATGGTTTGTTTGCCAGAAATAATGGCCAAACTCCGAAAAAGTAACCCGAAACGTCGCATCATCTTACACCACGATAATGCGAGCTCCCATACGGCTCGGAAGACAAATGATTTTTTGAAACAGGAAAACGTTGAGTTGATGAGCCATCCTCCGTACAGTTCTGACCTGAGCCCAAACAATTTCTTTACATTCCCTAGAATGAAAGATTTATTACGCGGTCAACGGTATGAAGACCCCGAAGCAGCTGTGGTAGCGTACAAATCAGTCATTTTGTCAACATCTACTTCAGACTGGAATTACTGTTTTAATGATTGGGTTGCACGAATGGAAAAGTGCATTAAGTTGAACGGAGAATACTTCGAAAAACAATAAAATACAATTAAGCTATACTGTGCATGTGGTTTTTCTTATTCCCGATTATTTCAGTCTGCCGCACGTATACAACTTTCTATATATTTATCGAGACTTATAATATATTAACAAACGTTTAAATTGTAACAGGCTTATTGTACTGTTAGTAAAAATGATATATAAAAAAATAAGTTATTTTGTATTTAAATGATTGATTAAATTAAGAACCATTGGATTGCAGTTGAAGCTGTTTCCAAAAAAGGTGATTTTTTATTACGTTGAAATAAAGAATTAATAATTCTGTTAGCATTATGAGTTAGTAACAGTATTTTCCTAGTATTTTTCTGTAGTTATTATATTATAATTTTAATTTTTCGTATATAATCATTTTATTTTTTATTTCGTACAATCTTTCAACTTTTGTTAATAGGTAACACGGTGACGATCAAGAGATTATTCCAGCCGATTTACCAGAAAACCGAACACACGGGTAATAAAGTGACTGTGGTCGGTGTAGGCCAGGTCGGCATGGCGGCGGTCTTCTCAATGCTCACGCAGGTATGCTTGTAACGTTTGAAGTTATGAAAAAACATGGCGCATCTTATGCTACATATTTTTAACCCTTTTCTTTTTCTTAACCTAAGTGCCACGCAAACGCTCCATTCAACATATTATGGGTTTGACCAACATTTTGTGCACAAATTGCACATATTGACAGCGCAATAGAGTATGTTTAACTTTTCTTCTATTTAAGCCGTGAAAATATGAATAAAAGCCGTTAAAACATAATAATTTAATGATTTTTTATACAAACTATCTTTTACCCGTAACTTAGTCCGCGTTAAACTTGAAAAAAAAGATACTGCAAATCTTTAGAAGTGATTTTTAGGCCAGTAGTTAAACTTTCGATAAACTACGTTTAGGCAATTCGGATTTTCTTGTAGTTATCTCAGAAATTATGTGAAAATGGGAAAATTATTAAAATACAATAAAATCTATTAATTTCAAGTAAAAAGGTCTTATATTTAACACTCATAGTTTTATTTAAAATGGTGTTAAAGTAAAAAAATAGATTAAATTGACAAGGGATTAATACAAATTAGTAATTAATAGGGGATAGAAGATATAATGTTATATAGTATATACTACTTACATAGATACTAGTTTTTGTGTCCTATCCTATCGTATCAGTTCAGATAATTATCGAAAACCATTTTTTAATCAGTTTATTGATTTCACAAAATATTTTTTTTAGTGGAGAACAGGCCTAGTAGTCCAGTATTTTTCTATTTGTGTGAAGTTTCATCACAAACGGTTCGATCATTCCGATGAATAAATAGACCGAAAAGACACGTACAATTAAAAAAATGGTTCTTCATGATCTCTTAATAGCATGCAAATATGTATATGTATATATATATATATATATATATATATATATATATATATATATATATATTTCTATTAGACTCTTAAATGTATTTGTACGTAGTATAGACGTTGTGATTATACTGGGTTATTTTTCAAACAGTAGCTAAATTTTAAACTTAAGTATAAATATATAAATGATGATATACCGTTATTGCACTTTTTGAAAATACGACTAAATGAGGTTTTTACTTTCATTTCAAATTATCCCAAATTGAAAGTGATTTATGGGCAACAACGTTTTCCCTACTGATCGGCCCTTACGAATTTGTGCGTTCCTAATTTCGATGATGTTAACGCTGGTATATAGGTTCTCACACCTTCATAGGACTCAGGCGAATATGTGCGTGTGCAGAACAATCAGTTCAAATAATGCATTATCACGCATTTTGAGTTTACAAGACAAAATGGAAAGAATATTTGAGATTTTTTAAAATTAAGTTTTCTTCACAATTTGCCTATATAACTTATTCCGAATCTTCTTTACAAATTTGGCCGGTTATTGCAAAATAATCCTGTACACTATTTGTATAGATTAATGACCTAATTATTTCCACGAAATGACACCACCTCCACCTGAAATCGCAGGAATGATGTTCAGCTCAAATGTTTAGAAATTAGTATGTTAATTAGATTAAATTACTATATAATATTTATTTTGATTTTATTCTAATGCTACAGCAAACTACCTAAATTTTAAGGATATAGATTTTTTTACTGTGGGAAAATAAAATCTAACATAAGTCGACCCTATATAATAGGTTTTCAGGCATCCACCTCTCAGCCAGTAATGACATCATGTAAGCTGATACAATTGGTGATATAATAATTTTCAACTGTTATTAGGATTATTTAATAAACCATTATTAAAAGGTTCCTTTTAAAAACTTTTAAAAGCTTCCACTGAAATTTCTCCTGAATGTTATTTTAGAAATTGTACATCGACTTACACCCAGATATTTGTAGCTAAATACTAATTCAGTGGGGGGCTTGAACCCGAAGCGCATAGTTCATTTTTAGTAGTTTCCATATTGTATTTAGAAGTTTAAAACACTAACCTAAAACAGTAACTTTATTAATTTAACGGTTATACGTATACCGGGTGTCCCAGAAAGAATGGATAATCCTGTAACGCCATATAGTACAGGTATCCGATGCTCAATTAAAATACAAAAACAAATATTCCAAGTGATGCCAAAAATATGAAGGTTTAAAAAATGTTTTCATTGACCTTATTGTACTTTCATGTACACCACTGCCGCAAATTAATGAAATTCCTTTCGTTTTTGGTGTTCACTTATTCCTCACAGACTATTCTATTAGAAATGCAGTAAAGAGTATGAGTATCTATTGTACTTTTCTGCTAAAAAAACCACAATTTTTAGCAGGAAATTTTATAAAAAAATAATTTTAATAAAAATATTAAATAATTTGCAACCTTCCGCTAACTAAATACAATGATGAGTCTTACCTGGATTGAAGAGCACCTCCCGCCCTCCCGCAATTGCATGCACTAACTCCGTAACCACTAGTCCCATCACCAATACTCCCAGCACCACTACTTCCAACACCACTATTCCAGGTAAGACACACCATCGACGATAATACGACACGTGTTTCGCCTCTACACGAGGCATCCTCAGGTGATGAAGACTCTACGGCGGCTGACCGCTAAGTCACTTCACTTACTTATCTTTTCTTTTACGGTGAAAATGACCAAGGCGTATCGTATTAGTCTGTGAGAAATAAGAGAACAACAAAAACGCAACGGATTTCATTAATTTGCGGCAGTGGGGTACATGAAAGTACAGTAAGATCAATAATTTTTTTTAAACCTTCATATTTTGGCACCAGTTGGAATATTTTTTGTATTTTTATTTGAGCACCTGATACCTGTACTATTGGGTTATCCATTCTTTCTGGGACACGGTGTATATTTATTAAAAACAAATAAAGGTTTTCTTTAATTATTAATATTGAAAGGGTTATTCACATAACTTTAAAATATGCAATATACCTTATCATAATAAAAAACTGAAACTAAAAAATTAAATTATATTAAAGTACATTCTCGCGGCGTAGTGCGCAAAACGTTGTCTGCGTTTTCTCGCTGAATGAATACTTCGGTCTACAAGAGTAATTAAAATAGTTACCCATTAATTATTATTTTCAGCGGACTGCCATCGCCTTCCTTTCCCTTTCAATAACATTGACCTCCTTCAAGTCTTCGGTAATTAGTGGTAACAGCGCATTCGCAAGAGCCAGCCTATTTAAATTTACTGGTGGAACTTTCCGTCCCTTTGCTAGGAATACTATAAGTTTAGTCTACCTTACATTATATATAAGACCATGTGCGAGACATTCTGCGAATTGCTCACAAATTAAAATAAATTTTCTGAGAGCAGGGATTGAGGGACTTACCAGTACCACGTCGACAGCGTTACTGATGCTATTGACACAGTGTCCGCCAAGAGAGTAAGGTAGACCAGAAGATTACCAGCTGATCGACCATGTTGGAAACCGTATTGGCGGTCACTGATCAGCTGGTGATCCTTAAGGTACCTCACAAACTGGCAGTTTACAATAGACTCCATTGTTTTGGGGAACAAGGAGGTGATGGGAATAGGCCTGTAGTTGAGTGGGTCTGAGCGGTCGCCTTTTTTAGGGATCAAGTGGACCAAAGTTGTCTTCAATGAATTCAGGACTACGCCTTGTAAGTAGAAGTACCGAAAAAGACGCGTTAAAACCGGTGCCAATTCCGGAGCACAGGTCTTCAGCACAATGGGGGGCTTCCACTCCACCAGGACCACTCGACTTGCTGACGTCGAGGGAGAAGAGTTCTTTGCGCGAACCGAGCGCTGTGTAAATCGTACATCCGGCATTGAGCACTCAAATCGTGGGATGGTCGGCGGTGTGTTCCCCCCGTCATCGAAAGTTGAGTTGGACGCAAAGAGAAAGCCTAACAGATCTTTCTCCTTTGCGGCATGGGCCAGTGACCGTATACCATCCTAATCGGCCGACATATAGTGCCAAACACGGGGACAGCCTGCAGAATGCAACCGAGACGTTAATGTGACTGGTACCACACTCCAGACAAGGCAATGGTCCCATGAGCTTAAAGGAGCGTCGACGGAAACTTGATATCCGTCCAGATTCTCAACCTCCTCATTTTTTCTCATTCACCTCCCCTGTCGAACCTCCTAAACCTCTCGGTCAGCAGAAGGTCCAACAGGGAAGGTGTTAATTTCAAGTAACTTTGAACAGAGTCTGTAATATAACTCCATTTTATTGTGGTACAATTATTGCGTAATGGTGCAATTAGCAGCTTTTGCTGTCGCATGCTTTTTCGTTTGAACCAGGGTGGTATCACGACCTCGCAGAATACCAGCGTGAAGGAGAGATTTACCTCTGCGTTTCGCTTGGTGAATGCAGGTGGCTGGAGGCCCCCCCCTCCCCTTAACATGGTAGCGGAATTAAGTGAAGAACTACACCAGGAGGGTACCAGTACCCCTGGTGACGGAGAATCCCTCGCTGAGCATCAATGACCAAGTTATTCTACTCTTCCTGAGCGTGGGCGCTCAGGCTGCCCCGCATATTCAGGGGGGGGGGGGGGTAATTCCACCCGCGACAAAAACTGCTCGGGACAAGCATAGTGTATAGCAAAGGATAGTGGTTTAAGAAAGTACCGTTAAATTATAAATCTTTATGGGCCATAGCAGTCACTTATCATAAGGTAGGCTGTATGCTCATAGTCCTTTGATTTTATAAAAAAAATCTAAATACCGTATTTATTTGTAAAATTTCGTTTATATAATGTATTTTTTTTAAATCTTTACCTATTTTTACGTATAATCTTTACGCTTTGTAAACGAAAGGAAACTCAATCATTCATCGATATGATCATAACACTTGTAGCTATGAATTAAATAGTATGAAGGACAATTAAAAGTATAAAAAGGTATGTACCACTTTTAATTGTCCTTTATGAGGAAACATATAAAAACGTGCCGCAGTAAATATGCGTCGTTAATGGAAATTAATATAATTTTTTTATTTAGGGCGTGACCAACAACATTGCGTTGGTGGACGTGATGGAAGACAAATTAAGGGGTGAAATGATGGACTTGCAACACGGCGCCGCCTTCATGAAGAGCTGCAAGATCCAAGCCAGCAAAGGTATCATTAGTATAATTGCCGACATAAGTCGTGAGTACACTTTTTATTGGTCGATACGACGTTGACCACGCTGACGTTCAACGTGATTGGTTCATCAGTTGATTCTCGTCGTCTATTGGTTTCGAACGTATCATTCGGCTTCCGTACATTTCAGAGAAATAATTTTAGTGATAAATTTTTTAATTAGTTTATTTTCGTTAATTGTTTTTGTTACCTCGTTGTTAATTGTTGTTTGTGAATTTCTTGTTATTAATTGTTTTTGTTATTTCTTGTTTTTAATTATTTTTGTTGTTATGATTTGAGTGTTCAGATTTTAGTCTAAATATGCAGAGAAGGAAGAATTCGGTGTTAAATAGACAATCAAATGGTCTATTCAGTGTTTAGTTACATGAAAAAATTAAGTACTGCAAAATCATCATAGACGTATGTAAACAGACTGCTGAGGCGACTAATGTCTCAGTAGCTACTGTACGGCGCACCGCAACACCATATTTTATGGAAAACAAAAACCTCTTCCTTCTTCTTAATAAAATAATCAATTCTAACCACCAGGTATACATTAAATACTTTATAGTAGATAATAAAATAACGGACACGAATATCTGCAACATTACTGTACATCAAAGTAAAAGTTGATGTGTTCGAGTAAACATTTTCATAAAAGTCGGCGAAAATATTCAATTACGAATTGAAATAATAAAGGTACCCAATAATTTTGTCCGACAGTGTACCTAACTCCCACCACAGTTTATCTGTGCTCACGACTCGTGTCGGCAACTATAGTTTGTTTGAAGATCATTGGTTCACTAAAAAACCCTTTATTTTAAGCATAATAGAACGAAATGAGTCCGCTGTGCTGCTTCGCTGTATGTTGTCCATACACGTCATCGATATTTTTGTGTACAGTCTTAACACGTTTATTATAATCTCTAATATTACGCTGGTTTCCCTATAAGCCAAGCAAGTCATAAATAAGCATGTAAAATTGCATCAGTATTGCCGACATCGGTACCGAAGTCGAGGGTGCTCGTGTAGCATAAATTAAAGCCTCATGTCTTTGAGATTTTTTGATTTGATTTGATGTTGATTTGAGATTGATGATGAAATTTAATTACTTATTAGATTTTATCAACGTAAATTTTATAGAAATAAGTGGTTCAAAGACTCTTCTTTTATATAAAAGTTAGTGTTACAAACGAGGACACTGTCGACTAGATGGTAACTGGATACTGTGGCCCATAGATATCAACCATCGATTAAGAATTAAAATGCAGATGAGTTGTCACTCCTGAGGTCTAACATGGAGTGATTCGTTACTTAGAACAACGGTCTCCGGTCCTCGTCACTTCAAGCTAAACAAAACACACTATGTTGCTGTTTCACGCCGGTATTTTGTGCGACATTAATCCTTTCCCATTCGAACCGACCTGTTCATGCTGCAGTCATAATAAAACGTGGCTTGTATTATGAAATGAATGGATATAGATTATATGACTTGAAATACATTGAATTATGGATAAGAAATATTGTATGGGTACAGATTATTCGATATCCGCCGGTTCGAAAATTTGCGTGGTGACGGCCGGCGTGAGGCAGCGTGAGGGAGAATCGCGCCTTGACCTCGTACAGCGGAACACCGATATATTGAAGATTATCATCCCGCAGGTAAGGACATAAAAATCACAACTGTACACAATATTTATTGGATCAAAGAAAACTGAATTCAATATAAGAATTAAATCTGCGTATATTTAATATTATGTATAGTATATTTTTGTTTACGTTGAAAAAAAAAATGTAAAGTATCTATTGTGAATCTATTATCTTTAGTACTTTATTACTCAGACCGCGGAGTGACAGGGTAAGAATATCTTTTACCACCTATCTTTCCGTAGGTACCCTAAGAGGTGATAAAGGGAATGGGCATCAACAAACCGGGAGATGGGCAGCAGCGTCTTCTTATATTTAAAAAACAGTTGCAACCCTTCTGCTAAGCATGTTACTATAACAAATATCCCACTTCATTCGCGGTCTTTTCTTTTCCCAGCTAGTTAAATACAGCCCGGATGCGGTCTTCATAATTGCAAGCAACCCCGTGGACATACTGACATATGTTACGTGGCGTATCAGCGGCCTGCCCAAGCACCGTGTGATCGGCTCTGGAACGAACCTGGACTCTGCTCGTTTCCGATACTTACTATCGGAGAAACTCGGCATCGCGCCCACTTCCTGCCACGGGTACATCATCGGCGAACACGGAGATACCAGTGGTAAGTTGTTTCTTCATCATATCAAGTGGTAGAGCCACGCGGCAGCTTTTGATGGGCCGGCTCAAACCGAGGTGGTACCACGACCTCACAGAATGCAGCGTGAAGTAGAGAGTTACCTCTGCGTTTCGCTTGATGAGGGCAGGTGGCCGGAGTTCTAATTCCCCCCCCCCTTAACATGGTAGCGGAATTAAGTAAAGAAAACGACCACCCCCGGTGACGGAGAATCCCTCGCTGGGCATCCACGACCAAGTTATCCTACTCTTCGTGAGCGTGGGTGCTCAGGCTGTCCCTGCGTATTCTGAGGGGAGGGGGGCGGGGCCCAATTCCGCTCCGGACAAAACTGCTTGGGGCAAGCGGAGCAACACCAAGGCGACCCCTGCCACGCTATCCGTGAATTTTTGCAACATCAGGGTACTACATTCCAACCTTAACGCTGTCCATTACCTCTGGAGGAGTCGTCAATTCAAATGTTGTACATATGATTTCTTGTTTTAAGGAATTTATTAATTATAAGTTCAATTTATTTGTTTTGTGGCGTAACGAAGTTGTATATACGTACGTATCTAAGTGTTCAGCACTTTATTTGATATAAAAATTTTAATAAAATCAATTATATTTTATTATTTTCCTACTTTTAATGCATTTTTACTACTTTATTACTTTTAATACGTGAACTAAATAAGTGAATTGCGTCTTTAGGCATAAATCAAGGTGTACGGTATAATATCATATCTGATTAATTATTCTACATCATTCCTACTACACAAGACCACGCACTGTCGCAAATTACATTTGTCTCTTTTACGCTTGTAATTGTTTAATCATGCCATCCTACTTTTACGTCTAATCGTAATGTAGTGTGCTATTGCAATATTTAGTTATTTATGTGTGCCTTAGTGTGCCGTTTTTGAAGATCGAATATTGTGTACGTAACCTATCTACACCTTTTTACTCATAATATCGTTGTTACTTTCCCGTACAGTCATTGTGTTTTTGCACGAATGTTGGCTTTAACTGGCATTCAAAACTAAACTTCGCATGACAAAGACTTTCAACCAGTTATTTTAAACATAATACCACACGGTAGATACTATGTAAACAAATACAAAACTCATTATTATATAATAATGAGTTTACCCATATGGGTCGAGATTATAATAAAAGTACTTACTAAAGTACAAGATTTTATGGCACTTTTAAAATTGTCCGTATTTATTACATTAAGAAAGCTTGGTGGTAATGAACTAAGAACTTTTCATTGGAATTTTTATATATCGAACTAATTGAGAGAAGGGAGGAAAAAGGTTTTTTTTGCGTGGATGATTTTTTTTTGAAATTACATTTAGATACAAATTACATACTGATGAAACATGAATAATATTTTTTGATCTTATTGACATAATAGAACAAACTGAACCGGTTATTTGAATAATAAATCATAAGTGCAATTAGTTTAATTAAAATTTTCGAATTTTTAAAAAAATACTAAAAAAAGGGCTCGTAATAATAGATTTTCTCACAAAAGAAGGGAACTTGAAAAAAAAAAGGAAAAAAAGTCGGACCGAAGATAGTACGCGAACCAAGGCATTACGTTTTTGCGACCGCTCGATATCCACTTGAGCTATTACGATCATTATCACAGTATCAAAATTTACCTCCTTATTTTAGTAGTTGTTCACTGCCTGAAAACACGGACAAAAAGATATTTTCTAAAAATAAATGCTAGCTAGATCGATTTATTGCCCCCCGAAACTCCCTGGACACAAAATTTTATGAAATTCGTTGGATCCGTTTCCGAGATTCCGATAATACATCATCATCATCATCACCCGATCAGCGCTTCACAAGTCCACTGCTGAACATAGGCCTCCCCCAAGTAATTCCACAAAGCACGGTCCTGAGCCATCTGCATCCTTGTCAGGTATACCTCAATCTCTAAAAACTAGATTGTACAACCAGTGCGTGTTGCCAGTGATGACTTACGGATCTGAGACGTGGTCCTTCACTGCTGGCCGTATGAGGACGCTCAAGGTCGCTCAGCGAGCTATGGAGAGGGCTATGCTCGGAGTTTCTTTACGTGATAGACTCAGAAATGAGGATATCTGCAGTAAAACCAGAGTGACCGACATAGCCCAACGGATTAGTAAGCTGAAGCAATGGGCCGGCCATATAGCTCGAAGAACCGATAATCGATGGGGAGGAAAGGTTCTCGAGTGGCAGCCTCGTACCGGTAGGCGTAGTGTAGGGCGACCCCCCACTAGATGGAGTGACGACCTGGTAAGGTATGCAGGAAGTCGATGGATGCAGGTGGCTCAGAACCGTGCTTTGTGGATTATATATATATATATATATATATATATATATATATATATATATATATATATATATATATATATATATATATATATTAGAATAAACCCTAGCTAGGTCGATTTATTGCCCCCGAAACTCCCTGGACACTAAATTTTATGAAAATCGTTGGATCCGTTTCCGAGATTCCGATTATACAGAATGGGTCCCACATATATGCAATAAATGAAACCATATACTTGTTATCGCCTTTGCTGACGATATACAAAAAATGAACGTAATCGGTCCAGTAATTAGGTCAAAAAGTAGAGTTTTAATTTTAAGCAAATTTGAACACTCTATAGAATTGGGTCACTAAGCCAATGATTCAATGAACTTGAATCCTTGAACATTAAAAAGCGACGTTGCCACGCAGCGCAAACGGTATTGCGACATATCGACAGCGGTGTCTTTTGTCGGCGTGCCACCCGCGTGCAACGTTGTCACTCTTCCAAGGGGTCAAGGTACGTTGTCTAAACAGAGTGTTCACTTTTACTGAATTTATTTTAATATTTATTTTGTTTGAAAATTTCACTTTTTTATTTTACGGGTTTTAATTTAATATTTAATTTTTTCTACACTTCTACGGACTAGTATTACTTGTGGTTTCATTTATTGCATATATGTGGGACCCATTCTATATATATATATATATATATATATATATATATATATATATATATATATATATATATATATATATATATATAAAATCGCTACAAATAGTCACAAGAAATCCTAACAACAGTTGTAACACATTATAACACATCGCTGAAAACACTGACTGAGATTTTCCCTTTTAATTTAGAATTTCTTTTCTAACCTTTAGAGATGCAAATAGTTCAGATCTTAAATATTTAGGTAAGAAAATATTAGAATATGTATTTTAAGCTCATTTTAAGCAATTTTTCTGTGAATATAGGATAGGAGGCAAGAATTTTTATAGTTCTTTCACATTGTGTGGGTATAATTAGAAAGTCTTTTAAAACTATGTAAAACTAGCTGAACCTAGCAAAAGTTGTCCTGACAGTTAATGTCATAGGTTGTGTTCGGCAACTTTTTTATTTAAGCGCATGCAATTTAATTTATTAATTGCCGCGCTTGGGTGAAAAAAAGCAAATAAAATCAAAAATTTATATTTTTCAATGGAGAAGTTATCTATTTACAAAAGTTTATAAATACATAACTTCTCCATTGAAAAATACATATTATTACAGATTCGAGGTAAAATTCTTAATAGAAATGCACTCAAAACAAAAATTGTAATATAAATCTTTTATAACACTTTTTACCTGTAAATTTCACAGTACGCGAGCAAACCGGGTTTAATCCCCGCCGGGACCAATGAAATTGTTAATTGCAATTTTAAGTGCTGATTAACCAGATTAACCAAGTGCTCATTGGCGAAGGAAAAATCTTGAAGAAACCTGCATGTCTGAGAAATAAGAAAAAAAAATATTTCGAATACATGTGAAATTCACCACTACAATATTAATCAGCAAAAATAATTTTAGGTATTATATAATTCCTAGCACAACCACTCTCTCCGACCGTTCGAGCCAAAAAGGGCCCCTACAACCAGCTACGGTGACCGGATTTCTGGGCGCGAAACCCCACCACCGCGGTGACACAATCATTAGCCACGCCCCCTGCTAGTCGTCATCGCGTAACACGGCCTCTCCTGACAGGCGGTCGTCCTCGTCCGCAACCTGGACGTGTTCGGGATTTGACCTCACCTCATCCTCCTCCGAAGTATCATGTAACGAGTCATCAGACTCCACTAAAAGTTAAAAATAAATTGAACACATTAGAATTTATCATTACGGTTCATAATAAGCATACTCCTTACAAAGAAAAGGTTCATACTTCATGACATTACATTCGTTTCTTTTACAAAACCGTTCAAACCATTCATGCACATCGATCTCTGGAGGCCTCTGGCAATGTCAGCGTGAATATGGAAGGAATTCTTTCAGAACCCTCCATCTGCCGTGGTAGAGAATCAAACTGTATATCAACATGAACATGAAAAACTCCGAATGAGTAGTTCATCTGCCGAGACAGAGAAAACATCCCAATGTCAGCGTGAATATGGAGGATATTCTTTCAGAACCCTCTATCTGTCGTGGTAGAGAATCACACTCTATATCAACGTGAACATGAAAAACTCTGAATGAGTAGTTCATCTGCCGTGACAGAGAAAAAATCTCAATGTCAACGTGGATATGTATAAGCACACCAGCTTATGCATACAGCAAAACATAAGCAAAATAACTACATGACAGTAAGCGTAATGACATTGGTAACTTACAAGCAAAAAACGCAGCACAAGTCTCGGGAGTCCACTCCCCTGTCCACGGCACCAAGTTTTCGGCTGCAGCTTCAGTACGCTTCCCGTACGAGCCAGCAAACAGCTCCAATTTGTACCGATGATGTGGACGTCGTTCCAATAACTTGTAAGGTCCCCGCATACAGGAATCTAATTTTCCTGCCGATTGTGAAGCCTTAATCACAAACACCTTGTCGTTTACTGCAAACTCGTTAGGTGATCTACGGTCTTTATTCACATGATCGTCTTGTTTTTACTGGTTGATTGACAATAGTGACGACACTCGTTGTCTCCGCAGCGCCATAAGCGCTTGGCGGTTTGG